GGGGGGGAGAGGGAATCAGTCCCAAGTTTTTCCCAATCTGATGTGTGACCTTCAGGTCAGCTGGTTGGAAAATGGGGGCTTTTCCCCCATGGAAAATTCCAACATTTTGGAAAAAAAATTAAAAACTGAAACGATTCAGTTGAAAAGTTTTGGGAAAGAACATTTGATCTGGAAATGATGCCAAGGTGCCACGTGCGAGCTGCAGTGCTGATAACTTAGGCCCCCGTTCTCTTCCATGGATCGGTCTCTTTGGAGGTCAGCTGGTTGGAAAATGGGGGCTTTTCCCCCATGGAAAATTCCAACATTTTGGAAAAAAAATTAAAAACTGAAACGATTCAGTTGAAAAGTTTTGGGAAAGAACATTTGATCTGGAAATGATGCCAAGGTGCCACGTGCGAGCTGCAGTGCTGATAACTTAGGCCCCCGTTCTCTTCCATGGATCGGTCTCTTTGGATAGACTACATTTCCCATCATGCACCATGGCCTCCCTTGTTGTTGAGCCACTGTGGTGTCCGTGGCCATGGCGAATTGTGGGCGGCATAGGCCGCTTGGGGAGGATGGGAGCGCTCACGCACCTGGGCGCCAGTGGTTGTGAGGCCCCGGGACAGCCATTCTGACATGTTGCTTTTGGCTACGTTGTTTCAGTCTTCGGATATTTGGGCGTTTTTTTAAAAAGTCCAAATTTTCCACAGAGAGCAGAGAGAGTTTTGTGAAAAAAATGTACAAGTCAAAACTCCACTTTCTCTTGAAAAATGGGTTGTACGGAAACATTTTGAGCAGCTCTACCAATCATGCTTTGCTCTCCTCCATGGACTGGAGGATTTTGCCTCTTCAATAATTTCCCTGATGCCTTTTCTCCACCTCAAGCTGTTAATTCTATTTGCTGTGGATGGGAGACAGAAAGGCTCTTGAAAATATGTCTCTTCTTTTAGTGATCTCAGATGAGGGTCAGTGTCTGTGTGGCATGGTAGAGTAGTTAAAGCAAGAGACACTTTCTCTAAGGTACTTCTCTGGCCCCCATTACCACATCCCTGTGGGGCAGGGCCGTGCTACTGGCCCCATGGGACAGACTGGGAACTGAGACCCCACTGACGGGCCCAAGATCGCTCAGGAAGCCTGTGGCTGAATTAAAAACTGAACCCACCAGGAGTCAGGACTCCTGGACTCTGCGCCTGGCTCTGTCACTGACTGTACGTTCTTCGGTGAGTCACTTCATTGCTCTGTGCCTCGGTTTCCCCGCTCGTACAGCGGGGACAGTCGCTCACAGGAGGCAGCGTTCAGGTTTGGAACAGGCATGGATGCAGTGGATGATGCCACAGAAGTACAAAGTATAAGGACTAACAGGTGTGGCAGCGGGGTGGGGGGGCAAACGCATGCTGACTGGTGCAGTGTGGGGTGCAGAGGGCAGAGTGAGAATGGGGGGGGGATCCTGTTTTGAGTGATGCTGTGGGATGCAGGAGAAGCAGCTGGCAGGCCAGAACATCTTGCACAAGTGGTGATGGCACACTCCACATCTCTGGGAGAGGAGGAGATGAGCAGGCCAGAGAAGGACCAGGCCAGGCATGCAGCTTGGTGCATATGCGACACCAGGGAGAACAGGCAGCCCCCCTGGACTACCCCGTGAGCTAGGCTGGCCTCTGGTGTCTGTAGCGCTCGTGCATTCACCAGTTCGGGGGGAGGGGAGCCTTTGCATGCACCTGTGTGAACACCAGGCTTCACGCAGGCAAAAGCAGGCACCCCCAGTTTTTTCAGCTATCTCTGAGAGGGGTCGGGGAGAACTGCACAGCCCTGCCCCCCAAGAAAAGCCTGTCCCCAGCTGTAGAAGCATGTCGCCCTGACAGCTGGAGCTGCGTGGGGGCTGGATTAGCAGGTGAGCCATTAAGCCATGCGTGCATAATGCAAGGAAAGGAAGGAGGAAAGTCGTGCCAAGTGACAGGTGTGCGCTGAGCGGAGATCCCTCTGTGCCGGGGTTTCCTGCTTTCTCCAGCTGCAACGCCCGAGGTCAGCCCGCTCCCCTGCTCAGCAATATCTGCTTTCCAAGAAGGCTTTGGGGATGGCTAGTTTTGCTTTTAATCTCCTGCCACGTCTGTGGCATTCCTTTCCCACAGCGAACTCTCGCACAATCAAATCGAGGAGCTGCCCAGTCTCCACAGGTGCCAGCGGCTGGAAGAAATGTGAGTCGAGAGATTCCCTTCTTCAAAGCTTGGTTCGGGGACGGGGGCCCTCTCGGTGTCTACGACACAGTCCTGGCTCTCAGAAGACCCCAGGGACTGAGCAAGACGTGGCAGATCCAGTTCCAAGGAGATGAAAACTCAGCCGGGCTTTTGCCAGGACTTGTATCCATGTGGGGGTGAAAAGTTCGGTTCACTAACACTGGACACAGATTCCCTTGTGACGGAGCAGTCACAGAAGAACAATCCTGAGGATTGTTCATGCTACTGACGCCTGCCTTCTTGCTCTCTGGGGTTCCCCGTGACCTTGTCCTGCTGGGCCAGATCCTCTGGTCTCCCCCAAACAAGGCACAGAGTTGGGGTTACCATCCCCCTGTGCAGACCCTCAACCACTTCATGCAGTTCTAGAACTCAGCACCCAGAAAACCAAGCCCCAAACAGGACCCAAAGCAGCTTTCTCTATGTCAAAGTTTTACACAGGGAAAACTTATCAGGTAAACTCCCTTTATCGAAGAAAGAAAGATGTGCACAGTGGTTACCCCCCAGTAACACTTATTTACACCGGCTCTGATGGCAAACAAAAGTGTTTTTATGAAGTACAAACAGTAGGGTTGAAGTGGTTGCACATGAAAACAGACAGATCAAAGGAAGTTACAGAATTGAAATGAAAAGAAAATGCAGGTCTGTTTCCCAGGCCAGCAGAAGACAAAGGGGGATTGCTTCCCAGTCTTTCCCCCAGGACAGGAACCCTTTATTTTACATTCCCGCCTTTCACGGAAAAATACCAGGTTCAACATGGATTCTAGCACCAGCTGGTCTGGTCACATGTCTCTCCAGACCAACCACCTTCTGGACTTACAGGACAAAGGAGGCTGTTTACACGTTGTTAAGTTGATCCTTCGCACCAGTAATGGCTCTCATTAGCACAGTTAAAACTATACACAGACTCACCCTTCACTTTTCTAACTTCACATACAAGCATACACGCACCAAAATAGGCTCTACAGAGCCAGCTGATTGGAACATTAAAATGGGTCGGTCACAGGAGGTGTTTTGTCCAAAGCATCTCCGAGTTATGCACATCTATATTCACCAGCCAATTTTCATAAAGCATGTGGGGGGGAGCGTCACACCCCTGAAATATGCATGGGAGAGAGGCTGTGCTATGGGCCCAGAACTGCACTGGAGAGGGTGGGGTTTGGCTTACTTTGCACCCTGACCCACTCACCCCTTGAAATCAGAGCAGGTTTGGCAAACTCGAAGAGCAGGGATTTTTATGCCGTCCGGCCAGGCTTTCCTCTGCTGCCAGGGGCCCGGAGACACCCCGCTCATGCCAGCCTCTCTGTCTTTTCAGAGGCCTCCAGCACAACAGGATCCATGAAATCAGAGCAGACACCTTTGGGCAGCTCGCAGCCCTCCGCTCCATGTGAGTACAGCTGAGTCTCTGCCAGCCCAGGGAAGCGCGGGGATCTTTGTTGTGGGCTCACGGCCAGGTACCAGACAGACACTGGGCACCAGATGTGCCACATATACTGACTACACACATTCTCCCACTAGATCCTGCTGTACTAACTACACACACACACACCCTATGGCCTAGGGATGTTAAATTTAGATTAATTGGCTAATGGAATAGTTGATGCAATTTGCATTGACTATTTGATTAGTCGATAAGGGTTGCTGCCGCCCCAGGGCTGTTGCTACACTTCACAGGCAAAAGCGTTGCAGGGAGCACGGGGCCAGCAGGGGACTCAAGCAGCCCTCCACTCGCCCCGTGCTCCCTGCGGCATTTCAAAGTGGCAGCACTGCATGGAGCCCGGAGTCAGCGGAGGTGTCCCCAGTTGGCCCAGGCTGCAAGCAGCATTTCAAAGCAGTGACAACACATGGAGCCCAGGATCTGGCCCCAGGGTCCACACAGTGCTGCTGCTTTGAAGCACCCCCTTCTCTTTCCTACCCTCCCATCCCCTCGCTGCCTCTTTCTAGTCGACTAATTGTTCCCATCCCTACTATGAACACACAACCACACACCGATCACACCTGCTAAGGCAAACATGCCAGCACTGCTCACACACTTGCACACCCGACCCATGCACAGCCTGGCCCCGCTTGCCCACTCCCAGGCCTCCCTGCGGTGTCACCGTGAAGTCACTGTCAGGAGGGGACCTGGCCCAGGAGCCTGCTGGCTTGGCTCTAAGGGGAAGCCATGAGCTGCTAGGTACCCCAGAGTTTCAATGCCCAAATCCCCAAACTTACGGCAACAAACCCGGCCGGGGTGGGGTTGGGGAGGGGATCTTTCCTCAGGTGTGATGCAGTGTGTGCCCTGACAAGGGCCGTGCAGCCGCTGCACTAACAGAGCTGGATTCCAGCACTCCCATTTCAAACAGCGACCCCGCTCAGGTGTGAGTCAGTGCTAAGGCCCAGAGCCCAGCCGCCCGAGTGGGGCAGGGAAGAAGGGGCCTGGGAGAGGAGAGGGAGAATGCACATGCCAGCAGAGGGGAGGCAGGAGGGGGTTTACTGGGCATCCATTCAGAGCTGATGAGATTTTGACCCTCCTCAGTCAGAGAGGGGTCTCGCCAGAGTGTGGGGAGAAACTTCGGAAGGGCAGTGTCCGTGTGTCACACCTTGGCCTACCAATCTCATTAGCACCTCCCCGTTCTCCTCAGCCCCCCTCACTGCCGTGCGCTTGCCTTGCAGAGACCTGAGCTGGAACTACATCCAGTCCATCCACCCAGAGGCCTTCGCGACACTCCACGCGCTCACCAAGCTGTAAGTCGCGTTGCTGTGACCCCTGCCCTGGGACAAGGGACGTGCGGGTGAGGGGCACATCAGGCTCGTTTGCAGAAAGGGGGCTGTGCCCCGGTGCCCAGGCCCGCCAGTGAGAAGCAGGGTGTCCAAGCCCCCCCACAGAGACAGGAGGCACCAGTGGCCCCCGCTGCTCGCTGGGG